CCTGGAGGCCTTCCCCTTTTTCAGCCTGGCACGCCTGCCTTCTCCGCCCTCCTCTCCCTCTTCCACTTCCATGTGGTAAGACACAGACCAGCTAGGGAGGACAAGGAGGAATGAAACATGTCCAGAGCCTGGCCTTTCTCCCCACAGTACCCAGTCCTTTTTCTAATTCATGGTGGGTGTTGAGGCCACCCCCAGTGACCAACCTCAATCATGCTGGGCAATGCAATCCAGCCCCTTTCCAGGAAAAGGGTGCCCACAGGAGTAGGTCATACCAGAATCCCTTAGGCCTGCCAGCCTGGAGAAACCCACCATTCAGAGGGCAAAGCAGCTCACGAAAGCAGGAGGCATTTCTGGTGACTTTCTGTTAGACAAGGGACAGGCCTTCTCTCAGTTTAACCCCTTGTGACCTTTGAACTTCCCAGGAGGTCAGCAGCACGTCCCCCTTCCCCAGCTGTCTCTCTGTCTCTGGTCCAATGGGAGGGAGGGCCCTGGGCCCGTTCCATTTTGTGCCCGTATTGATCTGTTGGCAGCAATGGGCTGGATAATTAGCCAGGAATTAGGGTTTCTATTACAGCCAGGAGGCTGCTCCAGCTGATTTATCACCTGAATAATTTACTGTGATTGAAAGGAAATTAAAATGAACTCCATTTGACAACTGTGAGCTTTTATGGGCTTTAGTGAAGGCTCAAAAGCCAGATTAATAGCCTGGTGTTGGTTAATAGTCTGCTGAGAGTAAATACGGCAGGCTGTGCTCAGAGGCCTTCCTGCAGTGGCCAGAGGAGGGACCTGCTCTGCCACGGTGCCGGCAGGCGCCCATGACGGTGTCAACACGAGTTTTACTGAAACAGATTCCACTGCTGGCCACACGCACACACACATGCACGCACGCACACATGCACGTGCACACACTCTCTCACCACCAGCGGTTATTTCTTCATCTTTTTTTTCCCCTCTTCTGCTCCTCCAAGGTGATTTTTACTCACTCCACATGTAGGAAAAACAGAATTGCTTTTTCAATAACCATTTTGAAAAGGAAGTGTTTCATTGCCGTAGGAGTGGGGCTCCATTAACCCCTTCCACCAGGGCAAAGGGTTTACTAAGTTTCCCTATGAAAACTCAAGACTGATTCACCTGTCCAGGGCAGAACTTGGCAGGGAAATCAGCAACAGGAGGCAGGGACCTCTGAGCTTATGACCATGGCTAGCACAAGCCTGACCCTCAGTGTGGATGCTCTTCCCAGCAGACCCAAGAGGGTAAGGGATTTGGCAGAATGTGACCTCTCTAAGCCAATGAAAGACTCTGAGGGTCCCAGAAGGACAAGCAGACTCTAGCTGCAAAAGGACAGTCAGAAAACTGTTCCTCAAGCACTCCAGGTCCATGAAAGCCCATGGAGCCGCCTTGTACAACATGGGACAGAAGATCCTGAGGTCCAAGCACTGTGGCCTTGACAATCCAGGAAACTTCCTGAACCTTAAAATTGGGTGAACAATCTGGAGAAAAAGTTCCAGACAATGGAGCTCACCAAGCTGGACCAGCCTGCTTGGAAGACATTTAAATAGAGGGTGCAATGAGAGACTGCACATAAAAGACCTTTGAAAGCTGACCACTCTCATGCATAGGTGAGGGGCACCTCTGCTATCATTGTTAAATCGCTGCTGTTGTTGTCAATTGTGATTACTATCCTACCACAGATACAGAAACTGAGACCCAGAAAAAACTGACTTGCTCAACGGGGCAGATCAGAACTCAGATCAAGAACCCCAACTCCAACACCAGGAGGGGTTCTTTCTTCCCTACCTGGCTACTCCACGAAGGTGACAGCAAGCTCCTACCCAGGCCACCAGGTCACAGAGACACAAACCCAGACAGCTTGATCTGCTCACAAATGGAAGAGGTGGCCAGCCTCCACAGCCAGAAGCTCAGAGCCCTCTCCTGGTGCCACCACCCCATGCCACCCTGGGCTCATGAGGCAAGGCTCGTGGGACATTCACCTGGCAGACAGCAAGCAGAAGAGGATGCAAACAGTATACCCTTGATACTCATCCCTTCCCTGCTGCAGCCCCTTGCTCAAGCCGTCATTTGACCAAAGAGATGGGGAATCGGGCGCGAGGGTATGTCATTCATAGTCCAGTGGCTGTGTGTGTGCAGGTGGCCCTGCAGCCTCACCTCCCATCTCTCCTCATTACAGCACATTATGGGAGGTGAAGCTGATTAACCAGAAAACACTGAGTCAGTCATTATCCCTTGTGCGGTCTGCTTGCAGCCCCTGCCTCAGAGCCCACACGGACACAGGCCCGCAGACATTCCCGTGGATTCTGAAGGACACTGCCATCAACGAAGTCCTCACAGAGTTTGCAATTCAGGTCTCCTCCCCCTTGGAGCCCTGTCTCTACACGAGGCCATCATGCCTGCCCTTCAGGACCCCCACTGATGTCACCTCTCCGTACTATTGCCCATGATGCTCCCACCAAGGCAACGTCTCCCTCTCCCCTTCTCCCTCATACTTCATCTGGACCCAGAGGACCATCTCTCTGTTCCTCTGTCTTTTAAGTCCATATCCCACTGTCCTGAGACAGTAGGCAGAGCAGATGTGTGGCTCGTGCCTCTGTCCGCCAAGTGCCAAGCACTATGCCAGGCCCATGGCCCATGTGCAATAAATACACTGAGTCCATGAGCCTCTAAGCAAGTGAGAGAATCAACACATGGGTAACTCTGGATTCTGAGCACATGGATGGGTCTGATTATGAAGCCCTGCAGTTTCTGCCCCGTCTCTTGGGGCATCCTAAGTTAAATGAAGTAGAATTCAGATTCTGGTTTCTGGAAGGAGCATGTGAAAAACTGAGGGATGGGCCAGGGATTTAGTTCAGTGGTTCCGTCGCCTGCCTCGCAAGCACAAGGACCTGAGTTTGATCCCCGGTACCAAAAAAAAAAAAGAAAAAGAAAAACTGAGGGAGCTTCTAGCACCGAATGTCTGGGTGCCACATAAACAGGGGCCTAATGGGAGTGCTGGCACTTCATGCTGGAAGGTCAGGCTGAGTACACAGCGTGGGCCCTGGCCCTTTGCCACATGCTCGTTGGGCGACCTCAGATAGCTCTGTCCCCTCTCTGAGCTTCTACAAAACGAGCCCTAGCATTGTATGCTCTTGTCAACAGCTAGAAGAAAGATTTTCTCCTGGATTCTGGAGGGAAAGGATGGCCTCATCCTGAGAGAGTTCCCTCTTTCTCTCCTATGTCAAAGGAAATGTGGCTATCACCATCGCTCAAGGAAAGAGGCTGTTTGTGATGGAGGCAGACTCTGCTCCCAAAGCCTGGGCTCCAGAGTGTGGTATCAGATCTGTCTACTACACACAACCACACCATTCCAGTGGGAGGCCTTACTTGACTTGTAGGAAAAGACCAGTATCCCCACCCCAGTCCATAAGACCAGGCCCATGTCCCCAACATCACCTCTCACTCCATTCCCTGAATACCAACCAAGCTGGCTCTCTGTTTCCTCCTCCTGCCTCTCCCTCTCACCACAGGGCCTCTGCACTTGCTGTTTGCTCTGCCAAGCACATTCCCTTCACCACTGCATCCTTTCTCTTTGCTCTGCCCAACCAGTCAGTGCTCAGTATGCTTGCTTCTAGGCTCCATTACACCTTCCAAAATGGTTCAGCCTCTGTTTTTGACTCTCAGAGAACTTTAGATATCTCAGCACCAAATCCACCTGTATCCCACAACTCTGTGGGTAGTTCTTACTTGTGTTTCTTTTACAAGTCTATAGGCTTCTTGAGGGCAGATCCAAACCTGTCTTGTTTAGTAATGGATCCCTAGTGCCATGTACAAAGTAGACACACATCTAAGTTTTTTCAGTGAAATCATGACTTGCTGGTTGGGCTTTGGCAAGTCACTTTGCTTCTCCAGGCCTCACTTTCCCCATCTGAAAACAAAGTGGCTAAATGGTCTGTCAAAGCCCTCATAGGAACTGCTCACAGAGCACCAGGCCATCATAAAATGGTAGTCCAGGGACCTTGCTCACTGTGTACCCAAGATCTCCTCCAGAACCTTGCCTGTCCATGGCCTGCACAGTCTCAAATGGCTCTTTGGACAAACTTCAAAGTACCATAGAATTATCATTTAGAGGAAGCTCAGAGAAGCCAGTGCTCACCACGGGCACCAGCTGGTAAAGTGCTGAGCAAAGTTATTGCTCATAGGGTCTCTCAGACTTACCTATCAGAGGGCAGTTCTTGGCTGGCCAAAACCACAACTAAGCTGCCCATGGTTTCCAGGTAACTAGTTCAGGGCCTGGCACAGATGGGGCATTGGGAAATATTGTCCTAAATTGAAGCTGGTACTTTAAAGACCTTATTCAGGCACTGAGAGTCTCTTACTGGAGGTCTTTCTGGTATTATGTCTATGGCCACAGGAAGTGACTGCCCCTCAGCTGGGGACAACAGGCCCACTGTGCAGCCAGGGTGGTCCTCCTGCTTCCTTCCCTCTCCTCCAACCTCCAGGCTTGTCCAATGGGACACTTCTTCATCTCCTGTCTCTTGGATCCAGTTGTTAAAAGCATGACAGTTTGACCTGACAAGAAGGCTAACAGTGAGGTCCATGACACTGTTTATGGCAGGTGAGAACCCAGGCCACATTTTGGGTTTATTTTTTACCTTCACTCTGATAGGATAATGACCCAAGACAACCTCACGTGGCCTAGAAGATTACACTCACCCTGTCCAAAGAGCCCCGGTAAAGGACACCACTCAGCAATGGCAGAGCAGCCAGACAAATCACATGTCCCTTGACTGGCCAGAGACAGAGGCAGCAGGACAACAAGCCAGGGCCCCAGATAAATCCTCCTGACTGTAGAGGATGTTGTGATGGCCAAGTTCAGCCAAGCACAATGAAAAGCCCACTCAGAGTTGAACCTGGTGAGCTCTTACCCATACCCTGCCAGAGGCTCTGCCTTCAGGAGAGGGACCCAAGCCTGCACGGTGGTAGCAGGTGTGAGTCGTGGGCTGTACCTGCTCAGGCTTGATGGGCTCCGTGGTGGTGAAGATGTCTGAGTAGTGCTGCCTCTCAAATACTCGGTCTAGCACCTCCAGCTGCTGCTGCGTGAACAAGTCTCCTCGCATCTGCTTCCGTAGGAAATCTCTGCCCGGGAGGGAGTGACCATTCGGCACTGGAGACTCCTGAATACCTTTGATGAGCATGAGAGAAGAAAGGTGAGTGAAAGTTGGACAAATTGCTAGAGACTGATAGGTCAGAGCCTGAGAGACCCTCAAACCTAGCTCTTGGCTTGACCAGAGGAAACAGAAGTTCCACTGAGGGGCTGCCTGGGCCAACGTCACCTACTAGTGACTGCAGAGCCAGCCTCCCATAGCCACATGCCAGTCACTGTGCAAAGCCCTTTATTATGTGTCATCTCATCTAATTCTCACAGTGACTGCCCCCCAATGTATGTGCTATAGTTTGAATATGGTTTAAGTTTGTCCTCCAGGGGTTCATGTGTTGGAAGCTTGCTCCTCAGTGTGGTAGTAGAGAGGTGGTGCGACATTTAAGAGGTGGGGCCTAGTAGATCACAAGATTGGCCCCTGCCTTCCCTCTGACTTCCCATCTGGTGAAGTGATCTCTCCCTCTTGAGCAAGTACTTCTGCCATTGTGGTGCCATCACCATGAGCCCTTCACCAGAGTTGAGCCAAAACCAGTACCATACCTTTGAACTCCCAGAATGAGGAGCTAAATAAACCTCTTTTCTTTGTAAAGATACCCACCCAGTTATTTCATTATTATAACAAAAAAACTGACTAATATAGTACCTTATCATTTTCTCCAGTTTACAGATGAGAAAGTAGAGACCTGGTGACATTAAATTATCATTAGTGCTGAAGATTAGTGCTCAGGCTGACACAGGGACTTAGTCACCAGGTGCTACTTACTACCTTTCCTGTACTAAAGACCCTCCTTGGGGCTATAGTCTTTCCTAGAACTGATGTCTTCACCTGGACATTAGCTACCACATCACATGGCAAGTCAATAAAATACTGGGCTGGGAAGGCTGCAGGGAAACAGACACTCAGACAATTCTGGTGGGAGTGGCCACACACCTGTGCTAGTTAATTTGGCAAAAGCTATCAAAATCTCAAATGCACACTCCCTTTGATGCATGATGGCACTTCTGAGAATTTACTTTACAGCTACACTTACACATGGAAGGTGATACATTTTCAAGATTATTGGAGCAAAAGACTGGAAACAACCTAAGTTTATTTATAGAGGATTGGTTAAATAAGCTCTGGCATATGTCCACAATGTAACCCCTGAATGAAGCAGCAAAAAAGATGAGGACTCCCTCTTCAGATCAGGGTAGAAAGATCTTTATGATACACTGTTATGTGAAAGATAAGCAAGGATACAGCATGGTATGTATAATATACATTTCATGTAAAAAGGAAGAAAATAAGACTCTATGTAATATACTTATATGAATACATAGAAAGTCTGATTTTTCTGTTACACAACATACATTACATGGAACATATTATATACGGGTGTGAATGGTATGTGAGGAACTGTTACACTGGCCAATCACCTGGGAAGTGAGTAGATGGAGGTGAGGGGGAGAGAGACTTTTCATAGCATGCTCTTTTGTTCGACTTTGTTTTGTTTCAGCTCTTTAAATGTATTGACAGTTCAGAATCTAAGAAAGTACACTATTAAATACTCTGTGTATTCTGTAGGGTTAGATATTCATACTGTTTCTAGTGGTGATGCTTAACATTTCAAAGAAAATACTATGAATTATCAATTAAAAAACAAATGGGATGAAATATCTTTTGTGATTCCTGGGCTGGACATTTCAAAATGAAAACAAGCACCCAGGACAAGTGCTCCCTGCTAGAAAATGGCCTCAGGGTTCCTCACTCCCCAGGGCTCTTGAGGACCACATGGCCCCTGAAGGGCTGAGCAGGAGCCTTGTGCAAACCCAGCCCAGATCAGGGCACCTGCCCATGCTGCTGAGGCATCACGGGGCACCACCATGGGACAGCTCTTATACTGAAAGGCGTCTTTACCCAGGCCTTGTCCAGCCCCCTACTGCTGCCAGACACTTCTACCCTAGATGTCATAGATCTTGTTAAAACCCACCCATGTGAGGAATGAGCCCAAACCAAACAGCATGAAGCACTGGGATATCATGTCACTGAGACTCAGCTATAGGCCAATGTCCTGCCTAGGGGCAACTTCAGTGAAGTTTCTGACTTTTGAACAAAGATACCAGCTTTGGGTGTTTTTATGAGCACTGGGCTTTCAGAGCTCCCACGGAAGCCAAATAGGCTTAGGGAGCCCAGCATCCTCTATGGGAAAGAAGTTTCTCACAATCCTGCTGAGAAAATAGAGTCCCATATCAATTGGACACAAGAAGATTACCATAGACTAGGCCATAGCTGGGATGATCAGACACCCTCTGGACACGGGTGAGCCAAGGTGAAAGCTGGTCTTTCTGATCAATGTCTTCAGCATAAAACCTATGTCCTTCTGGTAGCCTGTGACACTGGCCTTTTACAAGATAGAAACCTGCTCCTGTCCACAAGACATTGTCCCCAGAGCCTCTTGTTCCACCATGGTCCATCCTCATGGGGATCATGCCCACAGGTCATCAAAACTAGCAGGATGTGGAGCTCTAGCCCAGGCTATCCATCCAGCAGCGTTCTTCCATTGGCAAGCATCCACCAAATGAGTGTATTCTCAAAAAAGCCTTCTGCATTGTTGTGCACACATATGTGCACATGTGTACACTCACACACATTCAGGAAGGCAATTCAGCTTGCAGCTCAGCTACTGTTGTACCCAGTCATCCTGGTTCCAGTCAGTCCTGGCAAAGCTTGACTTTGGCTTCAGTCTCTAGAGCTCCCGAGTTTCTCCCTGCCCATCACATCCATGTGTAAGAAACTTCTTTCTATCTACTTAATTAAACTCCCCAGCCTGCATCCTGCCAACCATGCCCAAACTCTTAATGAAGGCTCCTTCCTGTCAACCAGTTCCCCGGCTCCCACTAAGATCTTACTCTGTCACCAGTGCCCCACTTTACCCTTCAAGGGAGGCCTCTCCTAGCCAACCAGGCTGTCTCTCAGAGATGGGCTCTAACCCTCTCTCTCCCATAGAATTCACAGGTTGGGCTCTGGAAGGGCAAAGGTTCACCCCACTGAGGAAGGCAGGGAGGGAAATTCAACTCGGGGCCTCTGCAAGAAAAGTCACTGTCTGGTTACTGTGTGGGGCCCAGCATAAAGTAAAGGCACAGGGCACTGGGTCAATACAAGGGTATGCACAGAGGGCCTCGGAGACCTTCTCCTTGAGGAAAACTACACGTACTATGGGTACAAGCAACCTGGCTGGGACCTGTGCCTCCTTCTATAGAGTCTTCTGGGAAGAGGACTGGCCACATCCTGCTTTGGCTTTTTGAAAGTCAGCCACAGCCTCTGTTATGATTTAGATCTTAAATGTTCCACAAAAGTCTCTGTGTTTGGGTCAGGGGGATGCTGTATTCATCAGTAGCTGAATATGCTGTGGAGGGGTGGCCTGGTCAGGAAGAAGCCACTGGTGATGCAACCTGGAAGAGTGTATTTGTGTCCCCAGTTCCTCTCTTCTCACTCTGCTTTCTGGCTGTCATACGGTTAATAGCTCTCCTCCACCAGACAACCATGGACTGGATCCACTGAAACTGTGAGCCCAACAAACCTCTCCTTTAGGTTGCAAGTGGCAGGTGTTATGTCTCAGTGACAAGAAAACTAATACACCCTCCATGGGTTGCCCATAAAAACACATAGGGTGGCTCAGTGACCAAACACTGTCAGCAGAGAACTAGGAGGTGAGAATAGTTACCTCTGCAGGGACTGGTCCTGACCCTGACCATTCTTCTTGCTCCTGCCCTCAGCCAGCACCCTCACTTTTTTGCTTATTGGGGAGGAAAGTGACATTTATTCCATCCCTTCGTACAGAAAGATGGCTCAAGTCTACCATTTCCTTAAGAAGGCCTGGGACACTCCTAAACACACAATCATGTATTCATCAACTTAACAAATACAGATTAAATGTTTACTCTCTTCCAGGTAATATTTTTTAAAATCTTAAAAATAAAATAGGATGGGGATAGTGCCATACATCTATAATCCTAGCTATTTGGGAGGCTGAGGCAGGAGGATTGCAATTGAGATCCTGTCTCAAAATAAAATAAAAATGGACATGAAAGGAATAGAAGGAGTGAGGAAAGAGCCCCCAGGAGGGCTTTAGAGGCTGGCAGGGGTAGAGAGGATCTGAACCTTGTTGAGGGAACTTTGGGGACTCCTGGGAGGAAGCTAAGGAAACAATCACTCTCCATATTCCTCCATCCCAGGGCCTGAATTTCTCACTCATTTACATCAGGTCATGCTTTCCAAACTCCTTCCAACTGCATCTGTTGGTGGAGACCTGGGGCTGGCAAAGACAGGGTTTTCCATTTTTAGGTGTTTGGCCCTAGAGTCAGCGTGTCAGCCACACATGATCCAATGTGCCCATAAGGGACATAAACCATTCCTCGTTGACATGGACAGACACAGCCTGCAAGCACGCATGCCTCCTCTTTCAGATGTCTTCCTTCCTGCCCCAGCTGGTTCTCTTTCTCCTATTCCTAGGGCTCTTATCATTTTTTCCATATCTTAGGAGCCAAGTCCCCTGGGCCTTCACACCTACTATGGGGCATTATCTACCTTCAGGGGAAAGACTGTGGGTAATTCATCTCCATCTCCTCCATTGGGAAAGTTTATGGAATAAATGAACAAATTAGTAATACCTGTGATAACCACTTTACTGCTGCACATCTGGTCTACAAATGTCAGGATCCCTTTACCTGACCTCACTTATTCATTCGTTCATCTGTCAACCAGAATAGTGAGCACTCATGCTGGGGATACAGAAATAGGCAAAAACTGATGGAAACCTTGTCCTCCTGGAATTATGTTTGGCGGAGGAAACAAATATTAACTGCAAAATAATCAGACTCAGACAGGTGTGGGTATCAACCACAAGTACTCTTACAAAAAGAAGTACGATTCTCAGAGGGCAGGGGTGTGCTGACCTGCCTCCAAAAGCTGCACACAGTAGGTGCATAGTGAATATGAGCCATGCAAACAGATTATATGCTCAGAGGCAGCTATGAAACTGATT